CAGTATAAAAAAATGACCTTAGGATGGCTTATTTTTATTCACTATAGAATTTGTTTTTTTGTTAATCACTGTAGAATTTGTTAGTATATGATGTCAGGATGGCTTAGTTTTATTTACATGCTGAGATATGTGCATTGTTAATAGGAATAACTTGTGATGTTAGGAATAATTATTCTAGTGTTGTGTTTTTAACTCTGTATCTCCTCTACCAGGTGCCAGGTAGTCTGAAGTGCAATTATGTATGTAGTATCCATTTCTTCATTGCATATTTATAAGTAGTAAATTGCACACTTAAATTACTGCAATTATGGTGTTTAACATTGTGCAATATCCAGTCTTTATATATAACTTTCCCACTTTTTTTTCTTTTTTACATTTGATTAGGCATGAAAAACATATGTTCAGAAAGCTTGCACTAGGAAAACTATGTACTCTAATAGTCAAGTGTAGCATCATTTCGATTGTTTGATGATGAATAATATTGCTCTAACCTAGATCAGTGCTTGCAACTGAATTATATGGCTAACTCTTTTATGTTTCACATCCTTCATAATGACATAGACTTCAAACCAGATGACCTATAGGAGCTGGTGCATTCGCTCTCATATGTGTAAGTATACCAAGCAGAGGCTCAAAAAAACTTTTGCGAACTTTTGTCTTGTTATGAAACTTTCCTACTCATAAGCGATTTCCTAGGACTTTATTTCAGGTACCAAAGGAGCACAACCGCCATATCAATTGGTAAGTTTACCTAGGCACTATTTTTTTCCCTCTGTGTCAAACTTGTAGTGCTTGCTGTATTATTCTCTGTTTGCACATGGTTTTTAAGTGGTTACATCATTGCTACTTCTACATTCTAGTTTGGATAAAAAATGTGATTTGTGCCAGCACACACCAAAATTTTGTCCTTGCCATTTCATATAATAAAATTGTTCCTTATGATTTGTGCTAACACATCTTGAACTTTGTTAATTGTGATTTATGGCAACACACACATCTTTTTTGTCCTTGTCATTTGTGCTAGCTCACCTTTTCCTTTGTTTATTGTGGTTTGTGCTTGCCCAAGCCAAGTTTATGTCCTTGTCCTTTCATAAAAAATTGTCTCTTGTGATTTGTGCTAACACTTCATAAACTTTGTTAATTTTGATTTGTGCCAACACACATCTCATTTTTGTCCTTGTCCTTGCATATCAATATAATACAGACCCCAGAAGCTAAACTCCTCCTTGTTATTTTATGTAGAAGTTTTTCTATTTTTTGTGCATGATATTTGCTCATGATAATTTCTCTACAATAGTGTACCAGTGTGATCTCCAATAGCTGCATGTGCTTGTGGCAGCTTACTCACATGCAAGAATGGTTGTAGTAGTGTGCTAGTAGGATCTGCCAGTGGGTGTAATTGCTAGTTTTTCTTGATGATTGCGCGGTCATGTGTTGGGTGTCTGCTTCCTCAATGTGGTAACTTGTTTGTGTCATTGTGTGTAAGGTATCATAAGGAACCTGGGCATAGGAAATGGTGATCGAGGAGCATGCCAGGGCCATCTGGGGGTGTGCAAGTACTTGGTTGAGGAACTAGGATGTTATCCAAATATGGCTGCAAGTGGATGCTCATGTTAAGGTTCTTTCTACATCTTTTGTGCTTCTGGAAATTGTATTCTCTCATTATGTGAACCTTTGGCATCAGACAGTATGAGGTATTTAAATTGTTCTCTCATATGTGTTGCTGTCTCTCAGTTTGTCATTCTTTTTATGTACACATTCTATGCTGTTTAATTGTACTGTCAGCAGGCTCCATATTCATGAGCTGGATTCTGTATTTATATACATATACAATATAATTGCATTAACAACATGTAGTATTTGCACTATTTGAAACATGCAATTTTCATGTTCTTGTTTTATAATTTTTGAAGATCATAATCATTGTGCATTTTTTTCACCGAGAACATCTCATTATGTGCGAGTAAATATTTTGTTTCGTAGTAATTTCATCGATATAATGTATTACACTTAATTTGCATATAAGATTGTGCAAAATCTAGCAGCATCTGAAATAGTTGGGTGCTCTGAGTTAAGTTTGATTTGTGGTAGAGTTTCTTTCTGCAGTGGCAGAGTTATTATTTTGTTAATAAGCTTGTATGTGTGTTTACTGGGCCAATAGTTCAATTCTGGCCCAAACGAGCACTAACTTCAGTTAACGGGTATCGTTTATCCGCTTGTTAAGCTTTGGCGGGCCTGGTTAGGTTTGATGGGTTTGATTCGCGGACCCGTTAATATTGCCTGCGTACAGAAACAACCAGAACATAATCTGGTCGTCAGATCCAGATCTGATGGTCCACAGACGTCGCCTAAAAAGTTGCTAGATTTCATGCACCTAAAATGTAGCCAACTTTGGTTAAATGGGTCATTTTGTCATTTTAGTTAATGGGCCAACTTTGATTGCACAGAAATTATAACAGATTTCCTCTACATGGGCTTTCTTTAAAAACGTGTGCTACCTTTTGCTAAAACACATGGTTTCTTCTCTCTTGGAAATCATGTGTTATGCAAGCAACCAACAACCATGTGCTAGCTTGTGCTAAAACACATGATTTTTCCTCTGTTACAAATTGTGTGTTTTGTAGCTAGCAAACAACCATGTGCTATCTTTTGTTGAAACACATGGTTGTTGGCTAGACAGACTCACTATACTTATCTCGAGCGGCAGCATTGATTGGAGTTTTGCGTCGCCATTCAAAGGCTCGAACCAATGAATCTTGCCGGCCAATGAACATAGAGTCCACGATCCAAGTGTTCTCAACTCCAGCCTTCACGCGAGGACTCAGACAACAAAAGTCAGAGGTCCCGAGCGAAGGGGTAGCAGAATAGAGATTGCCCAAAGGTTTCGACGTAGGCCTGCTGGTGAAAACCCTGAAGGATGGTGCTAGCCTGGACCTTCAGCCCTGCCGCCCTTCGCGCACGACTTCGACGTCGGATGTCGCGGCGCCAGTCTACGTGCTTGCGTTCTAACAGGAGGCCCTGCATTTGCTCAACCAAAAGACTTGCGTTCCTGCTGGTTAGCTAGCACATAGAAGAAATCTCACGTACATCTAGAGCTCGGACCTTCCTTGCTTCAGATTTTTTTACAAAAGCAGCCGAAGGCTTTTGGAGCTTGGGTGATTTATATATTATGTTTTTTTTTTGCAACAAGGGCCAGAGACTTTATTCCTTTTGGTGATTTTTTTGAGACAAAAGCAGCCGAAGGCCTTAGGAACTGCGGTGGTTCATTTTTTTTAACAAGATGGCCGAAGGCACAAGGGCTTCGGTTGTTTTTTTATTTTAATTTTTAATGAACAGCCGAAGGCTTTAAACCTTTTTGGCTTTTTTTTAACAAGAATGGCCGAAGGCACGGTTGTTTTTGCAGTTTTTTCTTTAGAAAAAAGGACCAAAGTGTTTTTTCTTAATAAAAATGGCCGAAGGTTAGAAAAGAGTTTAGGTAATTTTTCTTGAAAAAGTAGGTGAAGTTGAAACTGAATGTACCGACTCCGCTAGCTACGAGGGTTTAGGGAGACCATACCTTTGCCTCGGAGGTTCTCGTATAATCAAACCTTCACTCCCCGCAAAAAAGTATTCGTGCCGAGCATGGTGGGCGCCAATGTTAGGACAAGCGTCCCGAACAGGGTTGAGAGGTGAAGGCTCCTTGGTAAATGCTAGCTGGAGAAGGTCCCTTGGTGAAGGTCGGTGGGAGAAGGCCGACGGGAGAAGGCTCTGGGAGAAGGCTTGCGGGAGAAGGTCTCCCGGAGAAGGCCGAGAGGAGAAGGCCTCCGGGAGAAGGCCGACGGGAAAAGGTCTCCCGGAGAAGGCTGACGGGAGAAGGTCTCCCGGAGGCCTTCCGGCAAAGGCCGACAGGAGAAGGTCTCGCGACGAATGTCCCGGACGAAGGCCTGATGGTTGCGCCGTGTGAAGGCTCCGTGGAGAAGGCTTCACACTAAAGGTCTAATGCGGAGGCTCAGCGGAGAAGGCCCCATAGTGGAGGCTCTACGGAGAAGGCTCCATGACGAAGGTCTAGTGCAAAGGATCCACGGAGAAGGCTCCCAGGAGAAGGCCATGCGACGAAGGCCTGGCCGGTGAAGGCCTGCCAATGAAGGCTCCAACACGTAAGAGGGGAGAGTGAGGCGACGACTAGGGTTTGCGAAAAATGAGTGAGAGAGGAGAGAGCCCCCCTTCCCCTCATGTTCTTGGCATTATATAGGAAAGTGAAAATTTATAAGCAACCCCTCGGTGGAGGTAGATTTTACATGCCACTCCAATGTTGCTAGTTGGGTCTCTTCTAGGGGACTTGGCCCAAATGAATATGGCATGTCTCAATAGTAATGTTGATTTTGCACGTAAGGACATATGCCCCCATGCATGTGCATATGCTAGCGACAAGACATTGTCGATGACAAGGGTGCCGATGTCCGTGATGGGATTCGGAGCGATGGTCGGGCCGATTGGGACACTCATCATCGACACATTCGCGAGTTCCTACTTCAGGCGCGTGTCCCACGCCAAGGCTTCGGCGGACGAGGAGCAGCAGTGCGGGGCGGCGCCGCAGGGCCACACGCATGCGCATGGCTCCTCGGTGGTCGCCGTCGCCTTCGGCAGCAAGGGAGATGGGGCGTAGGCGATGCGTCATTGAGTCGTCGTGCAGGTACTAATAAAAATGCCATCCCTGCTAATTTGAAAGGTCAGCAGGAGGACCCCTACCTTTTTTTTCATTTTCATATATAGAGAAAGAACAGGCATTTTTTTCGAGTAAAGAGAGAGCTTTATTAGCTAGACACCAGCGTTAATACAATCAGCTTCCAGGGAGTCCCGAGCACACACAGGTGCTTGTTCCCACCATGCCGCAGAAAGTTTAGTGCGTCTAGCTAAACTAGCTACAGAATTTGCTACCTCGTTACAAACCCTCTTTACTTGGGACACTTTGAAGTCCCCTACGAGTCTCAACAAAGCTCTGGCCTCCTCCATCACTAGCTCTATCTCAGACCTGTCCGAGGCTTGGTCTTTGATCCTTCAGCGACGACCCAGGCGCAGTCTGTTTCTAAAATTACTCTTGAGAGACCCCAATGAACTGCCCATCGTAGCCCTTCAACACATGCTAGCGCTTCCGACTCTGGGGCACTACCAGAATGCTCCAAGAAGCGCCAAGCTGTGATAATGACGCACCCATTACTGTCCCTTGCAACCGCTACTGCACTTCCTTCGCCGGCCTCTTCCGAGAAGGACCCGTCGACGTTGATCTTGGTCCAGCCCACCGGTGGAGGCTCCCACGCTCTGTTGGCTGTTGTGGCGTCTCCAATCTTCCCAATCCTCCTTGATGTCATGGGACTCTTTCCCTTCGGGTCGTCAACGATTATCTCCCTGCAGCACATAAGTTTTTCACGATAGTCAAGCAAGAAACCTGCAGATTCGTCCACCGACACAGACCCTGAGTTGTGGGTGATATTGTTGTGTGGGAGATTGGCGCGGCCAAATGGGTTAGTCTTGGTCTCTTTGAAATAGTTTTCTAACCGTGTTATTTTTAGAAATAGTTTTTAAAAAGGTTAAAAATAAAAAAATCGCTGGTAGGACGCTAGATGCACACCATTGGCCTACAAGGGCTATGTTGTCTATTTCATCAAATAATTTTATATAGCACTAATAAGTATGCATCATGAATGCTAAGTTGGCCCACAGAGTAGGCCATGGCCCAACTGGCATACCCCGTGGGTCCACCCCTGCCTTTAGTAACACATATTGCTTGCCTCTTCATTTACAGACTAGCTTTAGCAGGAATTGAAATTCGTGTAACAAGTTTTCCTATACATATGGCATTTCAGCTGTGCATCTACATCATCTCTGTAGTTGTGTATTGATTTTTATCTTAGTTTCAGATGGAAAGCCATAATCCATCACATTCTCAGATTGCTGAAGTGAAAATGGACATCTCAGCATCAGCTTCTAGAGCAGCAGGGAACAAATTCTGCAAGGTGCTGCCTGTGATTTCTCTGATTCCAGTAACTCCTCGAAAGATGCCAAGGAGAGATCCGCGTCCATGAGGAAGCTTATAATTGCAGTGATCCTTTCACTACAGCAGACGCGTGCTTTGCCGAGCGGTATATCCCTTCACGGCAAAGGCTTCTTTGCCGAGTGCCACATGTCGGACACTCGGCAAAGGATTTCCCGAGTGCCACGACAGCACTCGGCAAAGAAAAGCCGCCGTGACAGCCAGGCCACGGTGACGGCCCCTTTGCCGAGTGCCACGCATCGGCACTCGGCAAAGAAATGTGTTTTTTATTATTTTTTTAAATGCTTTGCCGAGTGCCTACATATGGCACTCGGCAAAGCTTGTTTTCTTTTTTGTTTTTGGATTTTCTTTGCCGAGTGCTGTTGGTAGGCACTCGGCAAAGCAATTTTCTTTGCCGAGTGCCTTGCCCATGGCACTCGGCAAAGCTGGGAAGCTCAGTGTCCTAGATTCTCAGCTTTGCCGAGTGTCATGGTCATGACACTCGGCAAAGAAGTGAAAAAATTCAATTTTTTTTGGTTTTTAGTCTTCCATCGTTGCAAACAAGATATACATCATATATATATATATATAACACAACTATATATCACACAAATGTATATCACAATCCACCACAAACACAAACATAGCATACAAGTATCACAATCTCGACTCCCAAGTCCAAAGTCCAAACACACAAGTATAGTTCACAAAGTTTACAAGTGCATTATATCACAACGGCTGCCATTTGAAGCTCACGGCGACGGTCCGGGTTGGGATGGCCAAACGTGCTATCCCGGCGACCCTCCGAGGTGGTTCGGCGCCGCCCCCGATTGATGTTGCACAAAATAGAAGAGATTGCACGTGAACGACAAGAGAAGAGATAAATATGCAAGATAAATATCCGTCGCTACCACCACCACCACCACTTCACCGCCATCACCAACACTTCACCACCAACACTTCACCACCACCACCACCACACCACATCACCACCATGACCACCACCACCACCACACCACCACCACCACCATGAGCACCACAACACCGTGACCACCACCACCAACACCACACCACCACCACCACCATGACCACCACACCACCACCACCACCACCACTAGGTTTCTTTAGGTTTCTCTAAGTTTCAGCATAGAAAGTAAAACTTCGTACTTATACTCATCGGGGTAGAATCAGGACGTTGTGGAGGTGGATCTGGAGCAAGTAGCGCCTATGGGATCGCCCAACCTTGTTGTTGGCCAATTTGCTGCATGAACTTGATCATCTCGGCCATCTGTTGCTGATCTTGCTCCCGCTGGGCCTCCAAAGCCTGTAGCCTTTGCCGCTCGACCTCCCGCTCGGCCTGCAGTTCCTACACCTGGGCCTGCAGCATTTGACCCCAATGTTTCAATAATGCATAGGTAAGGTATGTAAAAGTCAAAGAACGACAAATGAAACAGGAATGCTTACCTAGAGTGCCGACACCGCGGTCGGCCGTTGGCGTATGGGCACGCTTGAGCTCGTGCTCGATGCTCGGAGCTGGTGGAGAGGAGGAGTAGAGGTCGTGTCGAGGACGCCGTCGCTAATCCAGAACCGCCCATGCTTCTTGCCTTGCCCCACCCTCATCACGAGCTGAGGATCAAGGCGCTCCTCGGTTCTTGGATCGTAGCCCGGCCCATGGACTGACCTTGCCGCCTCCGTGTACGAAGAGAGGCGGGTGTGGACGCTGGAGTTGGTGTACGCCTCAACCGGGGCATCTGGGTCGTACTCGATGTCGGCCGTCGCTTTGCCCATGTGAGCTAGAGCATATGCCTTGAGTTGACCAACTGGCTGGCCACCGTGTGCATCCGACTACGAGAAAGACAACAACATGTGGTTAGAAATGATGCAGAATTGAGCGCGGCTAGATTAGAGCAATGGCGGAGACTTACATATGCCTTTGCATATTCTTTGAGGTCATGCTGCTGCCTGATGGTGAGGTACACACAGCATCGCAAGCGCTGTCGCAGCCTCCTCGTGCTTCTTCTGCCAGTCCCCGTCCAACCAGGTGTCCACAATATATTCCCAGCAATTGGGGTGGGTGGCGCACTAGCTTGGAATCGCCTACAGGACATCAAGTAGATGACATATCAGAAGATCAAATTAGGCATACTTAATCTCAAAAGAATTGAATATTCATGTTTTGTATTTACCTGTATGTACTGCTCCCTTATCAGCGTCATCCGTCTTGCCTCCTCTTTGTTGACACGCCTGAGTAGGAACTTGGCGTTGTAGTCTATGTGGGCCTGGATGCGGGACTCGTAGTGCAAGTCCGTGACACGCCTTTTATAGGAAGCGTAAGCCACCTGATACGCACTTTCCTCCTGTCCCTCCTGGATTCTGAAGAAGTCCTGCATAAAGACACGAGGTATCCATTATTTTATTTCAAGAATGTCCAATGAATGCGAGGAATTGAGGAATGTAGTGCAAGAAAGACTTACCCACAACTCCCTAATCACCCGATCTACCTTGTTTCTACAGCGGATGCCATTATGATCTAGAGCATCCTGCACGAGGGCATAGTGGTCGAACGTCCAGGCCGGCTCCCAATCCTAATCTCCTTTCCTAACCAGGCCAGGGAAGTGTTCCTTGCACAGAAGTCCTAGGATGCCATTCACATTACGTGCCGGGGCCGCCTGGTCCACAAGCACCCAGTTCCTACACAAGTGGTCCACAATAGTTATTACTTGTTATTATGATTTTTCAACATATCAAATGAAGAACATATGAAGTTACTTACTTATCGCCCTCGGGTGCAATCAGTGGGCGCCTCTCAACAGGTATTGGTCGCTTCGGGAGCTTTGCGGGACCTCGCTGGTAGGGCTTTGATGTACTAGAGGAAGTGGAACCCCCTACCGTCGCCGCCTCCTCGTCCTCCATCGCTAGAACCGCCTCCTCGTCCTCCGTTCGTGGACCCCCGTCCCCGTCCACCATGTTCTGAAGGTCGTCGTCGTGCATAGGGTCGCGTGAGGAGCTACGCCCATGGTCAGTCAACGGCTCCCGCCTGGGCCTGCCTCTCGGCCTCCTCGGCCTCTCTGATGCCTCTGCCTCCTCAGCCGCCGCCATGTCCCTCCAGTTGGCGTAAACCGAGGGGTAGCTCCTCCTAGTGGGCCCCATCATCTGCAATTAAAAAGAGTAAACCAGTAAGTATAGATAAACGAGACGTACTTAGTAAGAGATGCAAAATAAAGAAAATGTAATTACAAAATAGCATAGTATTACATGTATTTCTAATATTCTTCATGATTGGGATTATCTGGACGATAGGTATCGTCATCACTATCAAGATTGTCCAAATCCTCAACAGCCTCATCCTCATCGTTGTCATTGCCTAGTCGTAGTCCGTCAAGCATTTCCAAGTCCTTCGGATCATGCACCTCAGTTGCAGCGTCCTCGTCAACAACCCATTCCTCGTCTGCTTCCATTTCGATCTCTCCGGTTAAGTCTATCTCAAGCATCCCTGGTAGCCCCTCTTCTTGTTGATAGAACTCTCTGTCATGCGTGTTTGGGTTCAAGTTGTAATCATCAGGGTTTGGGCGAGGTAATCTACTGTGTGGTGATACCTTGTGCACAATATACCAACCCTGAAGACGTGGGTTGGTTTTGCAAGCATATGGACAATAATAAACTTGTGTGGCTTGTTGAGCCACAATATAGACATCTTCTCTTGGATAGAAGAAATCCTGTTGAGTTTCGACTATCCCAAGTTGATGGGACTTTCTTGATACTGCAGGATCAAACCACTGGCATTTGAATATGACAGGATTAAGTGCTTTGGAACCATGGTAGTCGAGCTCATATATTTCTTCAACTGTCCCATAATACTCCTCCTGATCAGTGCCTGGCGTAAATACTCCGGTATTCGTGGTCCTTGGATTGGGACGACTCTGCTCGTACCTTGTTGTGTGGAAGCGATATCCATTCACGTCATAAGCATTAAATGACAAGACCTTATAGTCAAAGCCATTGGCCACCTATCGCAATTCAACACTTATAGACACATCCCTTTGGCACTGCAAGTTCAAGCAAGAGAGAAATGAAATCAGACAACTTGGAACGTCAAACTTAGTAAGAGCTAAGTTGGTCGGTACCTTTTTTTGGAACCATGTAATGAAATCAGGCAAACCATGTTGAAGAAGGGTCTCTCGTTCATGGTCAGAAGGTGGCCTTGAATGATGCCAGGATTCATCAAAAAAAATCTCTGCACTGACAAGGAACAATGTTGTTGGATGTACAAAAGTTACGGAGTATGTAACAAGTTCGTTGAGAACTTACCCCAGATACGTTTCCACTTCGTCAAGGTTG